TGATATGTTTAGCACTTTAACACTGAAAGATTTAGATCTCTGCTAAAACAATAGAAATCCCTTTTATTTTCTGAAATGAACATCCTTGTGCATTAGCACAGAGAAGCAGTAATAGCTGACTTTAAATCTGGAACGCTGATCTCCTTACCCTCTTGACTTAGTCACAAAATACACTAATGTGGTGTTCTATTTCAGGTCAGGTCTTCAACACTAATTTAAAAAAAACCCCTGTCATGCAGATCAGTAGCAGGAACATCTAGGACATAAGGAAACTAATTATATTTCAGTTTCACATCGGTATTTGTAAATTGTTTCTGTATCCTTTAAATACCCAATTTAATGAATTTTATTTACATTTTAGTCCCTGAGGTAGAAGGGGAAACGGACAGCATTAGTGCCCTGTGCTCTCAGATCACCAGTGCTTTCAGCACACCATCAGAAGATCCTTTTTCTTCGGCCCCCATGACAAAACCAGTGACAGTAGTCGCACCACAGTCTCCTGCCTTTCAAGGTTTGTGATTCCTTTGTGTGCTGTGGCCATGCTGGATGAGGCCTGAATGCACATAATGTTTCTTTCCAGTAACACGTGGCCTTAATTTCTTGTGCAAGTCCTGTTTATCAGTATTTTGGGGGAATGCATCCTGCTTTATTCATAGTGACTGTTTTGTTTTTCTGTGGTTTTGTTTTTAACAAAGTTCATGCACCTACCACATGATAGTTACCTGTAAAAGGGACTGGCCTTGAGATAATGCCTATTTTAACATTCTGCCTCTTGAACTGCAAAAACCTTACCGTGTGTGTGTGTGTCACAGGAACCAAATCCCACAAGGGGAGAGATTTTGTGCCACCACATGATTACTGCTTTTCACACAAACTGCTAGATGAGTGGTGGAGAGATGCCAGCAAGAGAACTCATAGCAGCCTCTAATCTTCATTTCACTGATATGCTTTTATACAAGTTGTGTGAAAAAAGAACCTCTCCTTGTTAAATGTAGTTATTGTTACTTTGCATCCACAATCTGTTCTTCTTTTGAATCTAAAATTAATCATACAGTAACTTCTGGTGAGCCATATCTCTTCTCTATAAAAACAACAAATTTTAACTTTAGTCAGTCATCAGAACTCAAGGTCTTATCAAATACATAAAAGTCCACCATCCCACAATTCTTTTAACAAGTGTTGGCTTGGTGAAATGGAATTTACTAGCTTTATCAACTGTCAGTCCAATTTGGCTCATTTATACAAACTGCTGTCATGTGGAAGTGTTTAAAATCATTATATGTTGTTAGGTATGACATGGCTCACTAATATTCCAGTCACGTGCATGCCCTGCATGAATTAATTGCACTGATGTTGTCTGCTCCCATTTTAGTTAATGGCACTGCCTCTGCCTTCTGTGTGCTTGCTGCTAAACCATCCCAAGCTGCTGTAGTGTCCACAGCTATGCCAGTTCGTGAAACCAATCCTTGGGCTCATGCTCCTGCTGCTAACACTGGAGCTGCAGCCATGGTCGCTGGTAAGATTGGAAGCAGATCTGGTGTGTTGCTACGAGAACTTGGATCGCAAGCGTGATCGAGCCCCTGAGACAACTGTTGATGCCACTTAATGGCAAGGGGAAGGAACAGGAACAAAAGCTGGAAGTAGTAGTAGCCTTTTGCACGAGTGGATGGAGGGAAGCAATGAACTCGCTGGTTCTGGGTCTATAAGCTGGAATGAGTCTTAGTTTGGCAGAATTTTAGAAGAACCTACTGCTTTAAAAAGGAGGTGATGAAGCAGTATGTGTCTGGGGATGAAGGGGAAAGAATCTGTGTGTGCCCAAAATAATTTTTGTGCATTCTTTGTGCAAATGTACATAAGGAGAGATTAAGGTGGCTGTTTATATGGCTTCAGAGGTTCTTTTCTTCTGTTTAATAAGTTTAGTCTGTCCCGTGTCTGTAGTTATATGTGATGTAAGGTGGTACTTTAAATGGCTGTTGCCCATGTGGACACATCTACTAGAAGGCTGAAATCAAACTAACATCATTTCCTGGTGTAAGCTCAACTTGAAAAGAGAAACTTGGCTAGTGAAATAGTAGGTTCTGCTTGGCCTTGTAAGAGTACCAAACCTGTTTCCCCCCCCCAAGCGAGAGTCCTTAAGCTCTACTTCCAACAGTTCTCACCTTAAAAACAACAGTAAACTGATCTTTAGATGGTGCTTAACTAGATCAGGCTCACTAAAAATTACTGAGCGGTAATGGTTTACCACTTCTTCAAAACACTAAACAGTTGAATTGCAGAGCCATCTCTAGCATTCCTGGTTGCTTTTCTCATCACATTGGAAACTGGGCAAGGCCCTGTGAGAGAATTTGAAACTGTAGGGAGAAGGAAAACCAGAATTCAGCTGGTGGGAGATAGTGGTGAAACTGGGAGGAATGGAAATCATAGTGATTTTTTAAATCATAGTGATTTTTTTTTTTTTTAATCATTGAAGATAAATGAGTTAAAAATCAGCTGGTTTTATAGAAGGAAAGTCTAAAATGCTAAGTGTTGATTAGTGCAAAAGAGCTGGAGAGGTTAACAGCTTGAGTTATACGTGAAAAGACTCAGAGAAGAGCAAGTGGAGACAGAGGAAGACTATAAAGGAGCCAGACTAAGTACAGTTTACATACTCTATAGTAATTTCATTAGCTGTATTGCCTTAAATGTTCATGTGTATCATAGTGAGTACTCACACTTCAGTGTGTATAGGACAGAAAAATTAATATTGTCTTGAACTCCCAGTACCATTACATTATTGTCCTTTAGAGGGTAAAGCCTTGATTTAGAAAATGGAGCAAACTGGTCTTAAACCAGTTTTCTTATAGCTTTGTGTTCTAACAGCCCAGCAGTCCTGAGCTGCACGTTCAGAAACTGACACGCTGCAGTTAGAGGAACCAGTGGTGACAAACTAGATCATTGCTACTAAGTTATGAGTGCAGGCAGCAGCTCTCCTGCATGCCCTCAAGTCTCAGGTGGCTGCTGTGAAGAAAAAAAAAAAAGAACCACAACCCAACCTGCCTTTTAGGGAAGAGGTTCTTCAGGACCCCTTCTTGACCAGTATCTTCCTGCAACCGAACGGTCCAGTGGATGCATAAAGGTGCTCCCAGTGTCAGCAGCAGTCTTTCAGCCCTGGAGGGAGGAGGCCTGTCTGTTCTTGTGTACAGACCTTGTCCGCCCGCCCTTCTAACCGGCAAAAGGGGAAGGTGTGGAAACACTAGTGACTTCCCCCTGCTTTCCTCCCCAGGCACCGAATGGAGCAGCACCTCCTCAGGTGCGGCCTCACCCAGTCTCTTCCAAGGAAATCACAGGCGTACTCCCTCGGAGGCAGACCGCTGGTTGGAGGAGGTCTCCAAGACTGTCCGAGCCCAGCAGCAGCCCCCGCCAGCCCCAGCCCCCCAGCCACTGCTCCAGGCTCCTCCGGCAGCTCCCCAGGCAGCACCGGCCTTCCCCGTCAGCACCTTCATCGCGCCGCAGCCCGTGCCGGTGGGCGTGGTGCCGCCCATGCAGCCCGCCTTCATGCCAGCTCAGCCCTACGCCGTCGCCAACGGGATGACTTACGCAGCCCCGAGCGTACCCGTGGTTGGCATCACGCCGTCCCAGATGGTAGCCAACGTCTTCGGGACTGCGAGCCACACGCCAGCGGCCCACCCGCACCAGTCGCCCAGTCTGGTCAAACAGCAGACGTTCCCGCAGTACGAAAGCAACAGTGCTACCACCAGCCCTTTCTTCAGTCCGCCGGCGCAGCACAACGGCTCGGCGGCTTTCAACGGAGTCGAGGGCGGCAAGTGGGCTGCAGAGGACAAGCACTCGCAGCCTCCCGCCGCGGCGCCGCAGGTCGACCCCTTCGAAGCACAGTGGGCAGCACTGGAGAGCAAGGCAAAGCAGCGCACTAATCCCTCGCCAACTAACCCCTTCTCCAGTGATTTACAGAAGACATTTGAGATCGAACTTTAAGCCAGTCCTGGGGGGGTGGGGGGGTGTGATAAATTATACGTTAGGATAGAGGGATAAAGGGAGCAGAAGGAACTGTTTCTGATCAGTTTGCTTTGATAATCCCAAAGGTCCCTTCAAACGAAACTGGGTTAGGAAGAGGGAGCAATTGTGGGGAGGATATAAACATACAGAGAATTTCATGTGCAGTTCTTAAGTGGAACGGTGAAGCCACCCCGGTCTGCATCCCCTCCTCACCCGGAAAGCTGGAAGTCAAACAGTGCAAAGGCAGGCACCCGCTCCCCCAGCCTGTTCTGCAGAAGCATCACTTATCTCCCAGAGAGGCAGGCAGAGTTTGTACTCGTGTCCTTCCGATGCCCTGCAAGTCCTGGACGTTCCCCCTCAGGGAAAAACGGGGTGGGGTGGGGTGGGGGGGTGGATAGGGTGGGAGATTGGCACCTGCTTAGCAAAAGCTAGGTTTGTGGAAAAAGTTGAGCTTCCATTTTGAGTAACAAAGTGAATATTATATGTAAAGAATAAAGTAAAGCCAAAATCTTTATTTTTATGCATTTAGAATATTTTAAATAGTTGGATATTAAAAGCTGTATGAGTTGTAAGTAATCTTGCCAAAGGTTAAAAAAAAGGGGGTTGGATGTAAGAAATTGTACATAAGATTGATTTATCTCTGATTCTTACTGTAAGTAATATTGGGGGGGGTGGAAAAGGGGGCTCTAGCTTGTTCTTGTATCTGTTCATTGTAAGTAGCATATTGCAACAACAATCACAACCAATAAGTCATTATATTGTAGTTTTAAATAAAGAACGAACAGTATTGTCATGGTTTGAAAACCATGGGGAAAATTTACTGTTTTTTATTGGAATCAAGCTACATATTATATATAGTATGGTTTTTTCCTTTCATGTATTGCTGCAGTTTCTTTGTCTTAATCTATTGGTTCTAACACTACTGTGACAATTTACTGTAATCATATCTACATCCTAGGGGTACCTGGGAAGCCATTTTATGTTTGTCTGTCAATAGATCTTAGGGGTTTTTAAACTTCATTTTTATTTTTTTTTTTTCCCACCAATTTGTGAAACCTTGTGGTTAAGGCTGCAGCTGGTCCAGGTTCTGCCTCTGGTCACTTGTGAAAACCATCTCATTTTAACTTTACTTTTAAACTTTGGCCTTACAAGCAAATGTAAGTTATATATATTTGTACTGATGATTTATAATCTGCTTTAACAGAAATAAATGTTGGTGGTAGAAGCGCTGGTTGTGAAAGCTTCATTCCCCACCCCCATTCAGTTTTCAGCATTTGCCATTCTGGGTATCTTCTGTGTTGTTAGGTGAACCTGCAGCAGCCCTGCTCGCTAACCTAGAAGCTTAATAATGGCATCTTAACATCTCTCATTTTGTACACCCTGTTGAAGTTCAGGGTAACTTGAAACTGAACTTGCAAATATCCTTATGACCCATAACTATTTAAAGCTCCAAAAGAGAGGGCTTTTCTGAAAACCTCTGATTCTGGGATTGCATCACTGTATTTTCAAACACTGAATATTTACATAGAGACAAATATGAAGACACTAGCATTTAAGAAGGGAAACTCATTTTGTTTTTCTTTCCCCTACTACTAAAAGGAGTGAAGATCCTAGGAGCCATAGGGGAAGAGAATGTATTTTCACTTCTTTTCTGTTCTTCCAGGGAGCTGACACCCCTCTATTTACCTGCCCTGTCAGTACGACTGGTTCTTACTGCATTCTTCTGTGCACTAGGTCAGCTTAGACACAAAGAAAAGCCAGACTTTGTAACCTGAATGGGAAAAAGAGCTCCCTTTGGTCCTAGCATTGGAGCTTGCCACCAGTTACCGTCTTCAGGCAAGTACAGGGAGTATCACAATGACCTGGTCTATAAAACTGGGACTTGACTGATTCTTACCTGTTTTCAGTACGATAGGAACAGTAACGGCCAACGCTCCTGAGGGGATCTGAGTTGGTACCAATGCCTTTTTCAGCTTTCAAAAAGCAAGCAACTATTTGTAGACGTTTAGAATAGGAAAGAAAGTATGTATTGCTTACTCTATAGTTTCATATCTTTCACAGCAGTACCACCCCCAGATCAGCTGAAAATAACCCAGTGTAGCTACACCCTTCCCCTGCCCTGGAGACAACAGTAAGAGAGAGGTGACTGTCTTACAATCCATTGTTTACGGAAGCAAACAAACGTTTTCATTGTCACATCAGAAAAGTAAGCATTCGGTTAGGCAGTTAAGCAGTACTACACGAGAGGGAAAAGCTCAGCTTGTCAAGTAATAGATGAAATGTAAAAAGACACTTTAGGTACTTCTACAGCAAGGGCATGTATTTAAAGCAGTGAACTGCATGTCTTCCGCTGCCACAGCCCAGTCACACAGCTGAAAGGTGGTCACAGTGAACACAGAGCTGAAGCACCTGCAGCAGTACAGTCCTGCCCCTCGGAATACAGGTTCTTGTTACAGCCTCACGCTTCTCAAGGAAGCGCTCCCTGGCCACAGCTCGTATAACCACCTCCAATGAAAGCTGACTGCACAGAATATTTAAATATTCTAAAAACAGAGCCTCTGACAGGGTAGCAAGGGATATTACAGAACTGACTGCTTATTCTGGGACAAAAGGGTCCGATACAGCCACAGTCAACTTCTACCCACGCTCCTGAGCTGGACCACAGACCTTGGGGGTAGTAGCTGGCCTCAAAAGGCAAAGTCATGCTACACACTAAAATAACCTATACATACACACAAAAAGGGTGCTGGGCTGAGATGTTAAATGCAAAATTATGTACAAACACAATTAGAAGTTCTCAGGGCCATCTCATTGTTCTTAAATACGCAGTGATGTCAACTTCAAACCTTACACTGTAATGCCTACCATGAATTACACAGTAGAGGAGGTTTTCCCAAATTAAAGGGCCTTAAAGGCACAATAAGTATTTTTGTCTTTTGTGGCAGGCAGAATCTGACAGCCCACAGAAAGACCCACCCCCAAATATCCGTGTGACTGTCACCTCTCATTCCTTTACTGGATTGCTTCTAGACTATTCATCTTGTTCACATCTTAAAGCAGTGTGTCCAATCCTGGAGCCATACCTGTGCTGAAGAGAGTGCAATCATCAGGTTAGTAATTCTTATTTTTAGGTGCATCTGGACTGATTTACTAGATCTGGAGTCCAAACCAGCTTTAGGCTGTCAAGCCTAGGGATTTACACCTATGTGTTACTGCTGTCCTGAGTACTGAGTCTGCACTGAAGGAGAGGAGAGTGGTGTGAACACAGCCCTGAATTAGCTGCCTGCCTTAGAAGCCTTAAATAAAAGTAACACAAGTAGGAGAAATAAAAAAAAAAGCAGCCAACCCTGCAACCCCCCAACCAAAACATCAATATCAACACTACACACCAGCCTACTAGTTTATAGCTACATCTATGCAAATAATAAATAGGTGATAGTGCTAATTAATATGATTAACCCATCCAAGTCTCAGCAGGGAGTTTGGAATGAGGAAGAGGGGGGGGAGTGGTAGGGCTGATGCTAGAGTAAAACAACACTGCGGAGGTTGTCAAAATGCTTTTGCTCAGAAATAATTCCATTTTGAGATACTGAAAACACCCAAGGGCCTTTCCTGGTTTAACAGATCATGATATAACCTCACCTCCCCACACACACCCCTTAATGCCTGAGAGTTTCTCTTTCAGAGCCCCATCTGCATGCTCACGGCCATTCCATGTGAGTCTTGAAATGAAGGATGCTTGTCAGCTGTAGCTGCTCCACATCTGGAAGTCCTTGTTAGCTCCCAGCAGCAGGAGTCAGCCCAGGCCACATGCAGAGCCAGGCTTTCCCGGACTTATCTGAGACTAAGCAGATCACTAGGAAGTTTATTCTGGCAAGTCAAGTGCCCCAACACGTATTTCTATGTGTATATTGTTCGCCTCCCCAAGCTGAAACTCAGCACACAATGTAACCACCAAGCCCAGCTTTGCAATAAATTCCACAGCACAGTTCTAGCTCAAAAAAGAAACAAAAAAAAAATTATCTGCTAAGCCTTTCTAGAGCAAGTGATAGTTAAGCTGCAGCATCTCAGAACAGGTGACAGTGTTATATTTGTCTAAATTACCCCTAACACTTAGGAAGGGCTGAAAGTATTCTTCTATTTTGTCTTCAGCTTTCTGTGAAGTATTGCTTCTGCATTTCACTCCAAAGCTGATTACAGTCAAGTAAAAATCAAACCAACCCAACTAGAAATTTATCTAAGGTCTACTGGAATAATACAGCTACAGTAACGTGACATTACAGCTGCACCCTTAAAGCTAATAATCTCATAGGACCTGAGCACTAATTTTTTGTGCATCACACCATTTCTCACAGCCAGAGTCCTTTGCATTTAGATGGAAAGTGCTCCCCAGGATTACAAATGTTCATTGCTCATTAGTGCTTTGGTTAAGACAGTTCAGGCCCATCTTCAAACGCTTTGAAGAATTTTTTTTTAAGAGCACTTCTCTCTCTTGCTTGTACGTAGAATTGGTCTCTCCCTCTTTCATGCTGGTTATCTGCCTTCTGTAAAGTCACAGGATCCTTACATTCCCAATATTATCTTATTCTGTGAATGACAGCAACTACCCTTAAGTGAAGAGATGGATTAGCTACAGCAAGGCATACGGGGAGGGGGGGGGGGGGGGGGGGGGGAAAAGAGTTTGCAAGAAACCTGAGGGTGGTGAGCCTCCCGCCTTTGACCAGAGACACCCACTACACTCTGTTCAGTTCACCCTCTTGATCTTTCCAGCAGGGCAGAGCTCCCGGAACAGTTTCATGCAGTAAAAGGACAGAGTTCGGATTTCCGCTCTGGTAAGCGGTCACCTGTGCTTCCCCGTGGCCCTGGAGGCGTCTCACCCGCGGTGCCGGGGAGCGCTGGCCCGTGGCTGGTGGCGAGAGCAGCTGGCGCAGCAGAAGCTGGAGTAGTACTCGTTGCCGCAGAGCTGGGCCTGCAGGATCAGCTCGCAGTTGGCGAGGTGGGGCTGGTCCACGCACGCTCTGCTCAGGTCCGCGACGTGATTCACGGAAGCTGCAGCCAAGCGAGAGGTGGAGCAGCCGTAAATACACCGCCGGGGTTCACCCGCGGGTTTCGGTTCCCTCCCAAAAGACACGGCTTGTTCCTGCTTTCTCCACCCTGCCAGTTCTAAAGGAACTGTTTTAAATTTAGTCCTACACCAAGGATGAGAGAGAAACCAAAACCTCTGCTGCGACAGGTGGAGAAAGCAGCTTCTGGGGCCCATCTCCTGAGGAGACACCCCTCTACACCTGTGTAAATCCAGCTGGATGGTGTCCAGAGTCCAAATACAAACCCTGCAGTCATCTATTTGGTCAACCAAGTATGGCATTTTGGCCTCTGGAAGTTAATTAGACTCCCAGCACCTTGGGGGGTGTGCGGGGGGGGGGGGGGGGTTGCACCATCCTGGTTTCCTACCCAGGGGAAGCAGGGCTCCCCGGGTAGCACAACCCAGAGGCTCCCGCTGCCCCCAAAGCCCGAGCCCGGCGGTGGCTGGGCACCCGCAATGAGCAGACTTATAACAGCAGCCAAGAGGCAGGGAGGCCAGGCTGTACTCACTGCTGGGCCCGCTCCTCAGCACTTTCACCTCCGTGCTGGCACTGACAGAGCTGCTGCTGCTGTAGGCACTGCACGTGTAGGATCCCTCGTCTGCCTCTTGGACATTGCTGATGATCAGGCTTCCATCCTGGGACAGGTGGATGTGGTGGCCGTCCGCCCGCATGGGGACTCCGTTCCTGAGGCAAAAAAACATTTGGTATCGCTGTTCCCACCCATGGGGTCTAAAGGAGCTCTCTGTGCTCTGTGGGAACCGATGCTCTGTGAAAGGGGTGAATTTTTACAAATTCAGCAGGAAGAAGAAATCTTCTTTTACCACAACCTGGCTCTACAAATGGGTAGTAACAAGAGCCTGAGTGAATCTGCATCCGTTAGCCCACTGTCTGCGTGGGAGGTAGCTAGCTGTGTGCTCTGTATAAAGACATTGCACTTTCCACTATTACACATTTTTGAGGTTTGAGGAACTAAGAGAAAATCCAGGGTGCCTTTGCCTCTCCAGGTTGTGGTCTGGCAACGCTTGTTTGGCTGGCACTGATAGCAGTGCATACTGCTTGAGGAACATATGGGGTAGTGAGCAATGTGCCCTCTTCCCCCTCCCTTAAAAGTTTGTTTAAAAAAAAAAAAATGTTTAAAATACCAGCAAGATTGTGTCTGTTCTGTTCCTCCTGGAATACTCTGTGACCAGCAGGAAAACTGCCTGAATGATGAATTACCAACAAAATGAAATTTATTTCACTTAAAAGGATTATCATTCAGACTCTGAAATTTGCATCATTTTGTTAACTCAAATACCAAACCTGTGCACAGAAGAAAATCTCTCTGCGAGATGGCCCACTTCAGTCCTACACTTTGGAGTAGGAGGATTTAAACAATTACCAATCCATCTCTGGACCCTTCGCAAGAAGGTTCCAAAACAGAATTGATTATTTTCAAATACAGAAAAAACCTCACCACCAAAGACTTGCACAAATTCACAGTTTCCCTGTAAACCATCAAGAGAAGAAGACACAGATTTTCCTTTACCTTATTAAAACACTTTAAAATCTCCTTTGCTTCCACACTTGACAGCAGAGGGAAAGAACTATTGCAGCTGGGAGAAGAGTTGCCGTTATTGTAGGCGCTAAAATGTTTGCTAGGTTTAGGCAGAGAGAGTTTTATAATGACCAGCTAAAGGTCTTCCTCTGATTACTCATTTCAGATTTTGCTATTGTAACGTCAATAGCTTTCCAGCACAGAGCCCTTCTGAACTCCCATGAAATCTTAGCTTAATGTTTACTTTCCTCCTTATTTGGCTGCAGCATGAACTTGGTGACCCCCGCACCCCACAGGGATTTTGCTCAGGATTTCTGGGCAACAGCCAACTTGTTTAGGAAGGGGTCGGTGATGCTAGTCACGGCTGAGAACCGTGGGTCTCCTCCTTACCTAGCAGACATCCTGCAGTATTATTTGGAGGGCAAGTGATGATGTTCAGGAAGGAAAGGGATGTTCCGTCTCATTTTTGCTCACCTTGACCACCTTATATTCACATTGTTGCCGGTCACTGTACAGTGAAGCTGAGCAGTCCCTCCCTCAGGTACCGTGATGCTTGGCAGGAGACCAGTGATCCTCAGCTCTCCTAGACCAGAAGGGAAATCATCACGAACAGGAAGACAATGCCATGCTGCCCCTGGTACTAGGAGCATTCCCTCATGGGAAAAGTCTAACATACACTATGATGAGCTATGAGTCCCCAGGCCTCGAAACAGCATGTTTGGAGCTACGATGCTGTTGCTATGTGGAATGTGAATTTCCTAAGGGCTTTGGCCCAAGCAAGGGCAAGCAGCAGAGGCCTCAAAGAGCTTTTCCTCCAGCTGGACACAAGCACACCACATGCACAGAAGAACCACCTCTTTAGTTCCTCTTGCTCCTATACCCATTCCACACCAGCATCCCAGAAACAAGGCCCTGAGAGTCGCTCTTACTGCACTGTTGGCCCCTCTCCCCAGCTGCCTGGAGCACCACTGTCTACTAGGCACACACAGATTACCAGCGGGTAGAACAGCTAGCTCTTCCCTTGCCCTCAAGCTGCCTGTTAACCATCGGGTGCGAAGCCAAGAAGCATGGCCAGACAAGAAACCCACACTGCCCAGCCCTCCCGTTTCCCGCTTGTGGGCACACACACGTGTGTGTGTACAGACAGGCCGTGTGTGCCTCCGCCCATCCAGTACCCAGAGGTCGGAACAGGACCTGGCGCTGGTCCCGGTCACGTCCATTTGAGGCAATGCAGGTAAAGAAGCCGAGGTCTTCAGAGCTGACCCGGGTGATCACCAGGGCCCCGTCAGACTGCTGCCTGTGCCTGCAGAACAAAACCAGACAGCCCCTCAGCCTGTGCTTGGCTCGGGATGGGACCCCAGCTGCCAGAGCCGAAGCTGAGCCTCGTGCGCCGCTTTGTAGTAACGCTGAGCAAAGGTTTAGCAGCAGCTCAGTTCAACCTGTAATGCAACGCCCGGTCCTCAAATCCCAGCACTAGTGGTGTAGGCTCTGGAAAAGCTCACAGCTAGCACAGGTTTCTGGGAGCAGCGGGTGAGGGGAGCTGCAGGAAAGCAGCACCAGTAGCTGTGGAAGTTCACCGCCGGCACCCTGACCTCTCTCTCTGCTGTGAACCCCTTGCCCTGGTTTGTTTTTGGCAAATTTGACTGTGACGTGTTCTCTTTCTGCTAATCTTGTAGATGAACAAATTTCAGCTTTGGCTCACTTGCAGACCCTGTGTCACAGCTGTTCACTGGAGGGGCTCAACGTTCAGACTTCGATGGGTGACTGAGGCCAGGGCAGACGAGCAGTACGGTCTGGCCCTAACAGAGGAAGCTGGCCAGAATACACAGCAGGACGGCCCTAGCTGCACGGCCAGCAGCTCCCTCCTCTCAAGGAGGACACAAGGAAGGCAAGGCAGGGCTTGGCTCTCCTCCACAGGGACCTGCCTGGGGAGCTCACCTGGGAGAGGAGAGCGGCTGCCCGTCCTTCTGCCACTCAACGGCGAGAGCCGGCGATGCTTCCACGGTGCAGGGCAGCCTGACTCTCTCCCCGACGTTGGCCTCCACTACTGAGGGCTCGCTCTTATCCATTCTCAACCTGCAAAATCCACAAGCACAGCAAGAGATGCAGAATCTTCCTCGTTTGGCATTTGACCTTCAGCACAAGGCTTTTTTCATCACAAGCCTTATTTTTTGCCTCCGACGGGAAAGGGCGGTCTCTGCACTTCTGTCAGAGCTCTGATACTTGCCATTACCAACATTCACTCACAACATTCAGAAAAGAGCAGCCTGCATCAAATCCTGCTCCAGTTCAGCACAGCTTGGTGCTGCACTCCTGCCAGGCAGCTTAACCCTTTAGAGGCAGCAACCCTGCTTCTTATATCCCACTGGATAACAGCCTAGGAAGCGTTAACCACATGAGCACATGGCAAATGGTACAAAGTCCTGAACGGGGCACCAAGCAAGCTTCCCCCAAGGTGCTTATCTGGCATACAAAAATGAGCAGATAACTTTTTAGGGGTGTGAAGGGCCCTTTGCACACAAGGCCCAGCAGCTGGCCGTCCACTTCATGCAGCAGAAAGGTTGAGGTCAGGCATTCACAGCACCCATCTCCTCATGTTCTTTGAGTTCTTGTAACTACAGCTAAACACTATTTTAGAAGGGAACTAAACCATGATGTTCCCAGAGTCAAATAAAACATCATCTCCCCCACCCCCGTTCTCTGACCTGAATTCTTGATCTCAAAAGACAAAACCAAACAGCCTTAATTCAATGAATCACTTCTTTCTGCTTTGAGGCAGAAGCAGCTATGGAGGTTGCTGGGGAGGTCAGCAAATTGGCTGGGTCTAAGGCTGTAAACTCAAAAGAAGAGAGGGATCAGATCATGGTCCCATTTAATCTGGAGCCTCAACATGCTGCATTTAAGGCAAAAAAAAAAATTGTACTCTTATTTCTGTGGGGTCTAGAAGCACATAAAAAACCCATGCAAGCAGCTACCAAATACGCAACCCGGTACCTGAGGAGATAGTTTTGAGTCAAACTGGTTTGTTCACAAAATATTTAAAATAAATGGGTGAGGGGTAAAGTAACCAGAGCTTTTTTTAATATATCTGTGTCTATTTTGTGCTAGTTAGGTAGTTCCTATTTGCTTTGCTTTTTTCCGGGACAGGTTTCTCTTTCTGCTTACACTTACTTGAACAACTAAGGATGCTGCCCCTGATATTTCTACTTTTGTTTGAAACTAACTCCTTTGCTGTCAGCCTCCCTGCGCATCTTTGCTCAGAATAGGCTTCTTTCAAGAGGCCCTCGGGGAGGACAGAAGACAGCTTGTGACTGGGATCTTCTCCCGTTTCTGCTGTCAGACGTTTCCCAACCGTGCCCCAGAACAGCTGACCCAGGACCTTTCCAATCTTCAGCTTTTCTACATGAAGAGATGCCATATGGTTCATCAGCTGGGCACGGTGGACAAACTGTTGCTGTATGTGAACCTACCTGTATGTGAATTGCTGATGCACAGAGGAACCGGCTGCCTGTACAACCTTCCTGCCTCTGGAGAGCTCCCAATGCTGCTGATTTTCCTTGTGAAGGACCCGACCTCTCTCACCCTCTGCCAGAACAGCACTCTGGTACTCTATTCAAAATAAAATGCCATATGTGAATAAAAGGACACTTCTCACTGTGACCTCTTGCGTAGGGTTTCTATGAGTTTGGGAGAGCTTGCTGAACTGGAGCCAAAGAGCCCTTCAGCCATCTGTTTTCTGGCTGACTAGTGCAGTAAGCCTGCACTGTCTACTAATGAGAGTCACAGACCTGCAGGCAAGCAATTTTAGCCTCCTTTCTCTTCTCTGTCAGTGAACATGTTGCAGCACCCCTTAGGCCACAATGCCTTCTGCCCCATGTGCCACTTCTGTGACAAAGCAGACTTCAGAGATTGAAGGCTACAGGGTGCCTTGCTGGCCCAATCTTTTGAGACTAGTCTTTTTTGGTGGGTGGTTTTTTTTTGTTTGTTTTTTTTTGTTTGTTTGTTTCTTAAATAAAGCACAGGAAATTCTTTGTTACCCAGCAGGACCTGTTCGGGCAAAACACAAATTCACCAGCACAGAGAGCTATGACAGACTGGTCATATTATAGTATGAGATGGAGATCCCAGGAAACTGCAGAAAACCCTTCTTCTGGAGTCTCCTTTCTGGGATCGGGAGGCAGCTGATGGCTCCCAGGGAGGAAGACCCACTCGCTGTGCTGGAAAGGGGGCAGGTTACAGGCAAGCCATGACTCCGGTTCTAGGGTGGCACTGCAGGGGAGGAAGTGCTTTAGGGCTAAGGCTTTATCATGAGGCAACACCAAAAGAAGCCCTGCTGCCTCCACTCTCCCCCTTGGCACTCCTACAGTGGAGGAGACCGGCTGTTTCGACTTGCTCTTGGGGCACCACTGCCACAGAGCGAAGGCAGCGCTGGTAGCACCGTGGGGCAGCGGGGAAAGTTTGCTCCTCTTGCCAACGACTGCCAGTGAGAATCGCTAAGATACCTCTTTGGTCTTAAGAGGAAGATCAGTCACCTATGATCTGTAGCTGAATCTGTCGTCTCTCCGTCCTCCCGTCAGAGACAAGGCATGTGTAAGTCCCGGTGTCCTCCGGCTTGGCGTGGCTGATCACTAGGGAGCTGTCGGACTGGTAGGTGTGCCTGCAACAGGAGCGAGGATTTCACTGCCTCTGCCTGGCCACGGGCAGCACCTGGCCAAGGCAGAGCGGCCCTTCCCGCTGATGTTACACAAACCAGCGCCACGCGGTGCCCTCCCCAGCTTAGGGAAAAACAAAACCCTGTTGACCACAGAGAGGTCACGGGCAGGGGAAATAACTGCAGCAGAAAGGAGGTCAGGAACAGAGAGGAAACTGAGATGGGAAAACAGGGAACTGCTTTCAGCAACCCTCTCCCATGAGGAGGCAAACTGCCCTTCCAGGCAGGAACATGAGCCTCAGCAGTCATCTGCAAACAGAAAAGCATAACTGGGCTTTTCTTAACTGTGATTTTCATAACACAAAGTGACTGTCTGCCTTCAAACTGTTGCTAGAAACAGACTTACCAGGAAAAAAAAAGGCTTTAAAAGTAGGTTTTTATATATATATATATATATATAAAAAATCTTAGATGGGAGTGCTAGAAACTTCCAGCCAGAGGAACTCTGAGTTATTTGGCTACAAGCTTCACCCCGGACTGTTTAGTGCTGCCCCAGGATGAATCCAAGAGAAACCACATTTTTCTGTATGACTACCCACATGTCAGCTTCCACCAGTGCCTTGTTACGGGACAGCACCTGTTCTGCCCCAGAACACCAGCCAGTGCCTCAATACTATTGCAGACTGTATTTGTTTCTGCTGTGCACAGACCAGGTGAATAATTCATGCTCTTTGGTCAATATATGAGCTTGTTTATTTTATTTTTTTTTTTTTTTTTTTCTCCAAAGAATGTTAACAGTAAAATTACAAAGGGAGCAGGCAGGCACAGCTGGCTCTCTGCCCAGCAAGGAGCCCATCTGCTCTCCAACGAAGGGATTGAGCTCACCTGTCAGAGGAGACTGGTCGGCCGTCCTTCACCCACTCCACTCTGGAGGAGGGGGACACGCCGGTCTTGCAGACCAGCTGGACGTTTTGTCCCACGACTGCTGTCACAAGAGAGGGCTTGGCTTCCTCCAGGATGGCTCTGAAAGAGAAAGTGATTCTATTGGCACCTCTGCAGCCCTCCTCTCCTCTGGCTCCTCTAAGGTGACTCCAGATGAGTCACAACCACAGGGCAAAGCAGGACGGGCTGCCCATTCGGCTCTGAGCAGAGGCACCAGGCAACATGTGGGGAGCCCTCTCCCACAAAGGCTGCTCTGGATAGACTGAACACTACAGTATCTCCAGGAAGAGAGAGAGTTCTACAACCCCTCTTTTCTGAAGGAACTAGGTTCAGCTCAGCAGACAGGCACAGATCCGGCGCAGACACATTTAGATCTAGCTCTACGCACTCCTGATTTTCAGGGTGACACTGTCTGGATCATGACCCAAACTCTGCATCTTAGAAGTCTTCCCTAGAACAACCCCCTGCTGCTGATAAAGGCTCTGAATTCAGAGTCAGCTAAATTTGCTGGTCAGAACAAGAAATGGATTCTCATTTACAGTGTTGGAGTGCCTCCCAGTCAGAGACCCCAGGATCCTGTAGTCTTTTCACATGCCGTACTCTCGGTGCTGTCAGAGAGCAGGAAAGCAGCAGCAGGTAACTCCAGGGCCTGAATAACTTAATTTACCAAAGGGCCACGTGTATAGCCAATCCATGGCACAGTATTGCCAGTCAGCTGGTCCCAGCTGGGGCAACACTTTCACTACAGCTGAAGCTGCACTAATACTTCACAATGAGCTGCCACTGGCAGAACGGGGGAAGGGAAAAAAATCATCACCTGTGCAGAGCCCACGCTGGGAACGAGTCTGCAGACGCCTGATGCCCAAACCCCTCTGTCACGGAAACATCTGCTCCGAAAGCCTTATGCCACTGCTCGCCTCCACCACTGCGCCGCCTCTCCGAGGGCCCCGGCACGGCTGTGTCCCCCCGGCGCGGCTGGCTCAGTCTGCTTTGCTGGGCGCCCCAGCCCTGGCTCTCCAGCACACCCGCCCTTGGCAAAGACTCTGACACCACCTCACTTCTCCAGCCGTCCTGCCTGTGGCTGTCTTGCACGGGGTGTGAAGCCCCACGGGCTCTTCCTTCTTGGCTGTGACTTGCAGACTCTCTCAGGGGTGGCTGCTGCTGACCCCGAGCATCCCCTGTATGAGAGCGAGAGCCGGTGTGCTGGTGTTGCAGGGCTCCTGTACCAGAAGAGGGCTGGTGCTCCAGAGGACTGACCCCCTCCGAGTTGTGGCACACTCTCATGCACTCCTCCTCTGAGGCAAAGCTGTTTTTATTGCCGTGACAGCCACCGTACCAAAACCGGTTGCACTTGCCCACGACAGTCACAAAGTACCAACGAGTGGTCCAGTTGGCGCAGGGGCCGTGGGCACTGGGCAGCAGGCAAATGACAGGATACGCTGCCAAAAAGAGTGGAACAGGGGGACATGTGAAGGTCACGAAGCACAAAGGTCCGGGTGCTTCAAGCCACCTGCCTAGATGATGTGATGGGCCTTGTGGGCAGAGGGCAGGTGGGAAAGTAAGACACCTGCGTTTTGCACCCCAGCTCTGCTCTGAAATTGAGCAGTTCCTCACACGTTTCTGCTCATTCTGCCACTGGTGAGAGGAGAACCAACCTCAGAGACAGTCCTGAATCTAGATACTGGGTGGATGCTTTACAATCTCTCTCAGGGAATTGTGCAGCTGCAAGGTTGGCTCTGGGGCTTCCTCTCCTGCAAGAAGCACGTGGCTGCTGCTTGCACGCTTCCAGCCCAGAAGGCAAGTGGATTAGACCCAGTTGTGAAGCCTCGTGCATTACAGAATACCCCTCCACACGTTGATATAAAGAGGAGCACAGCCCAATGTGTCTACACAGAGCCATGTGCTCTGAGTCACAGGTATCACAGCCACATGCTGACACGCAATGGACAGAGGGCTCTGACCAAGGGGTCCTTTGCCAAGCTGTGGGTGAGCAGAGAGGATCCAAAGAGCTTTTCCTTTCCCCAAGGCAGCCCCACAGAGCTGGCCACCAAGCAATCTATGGACTGCAGCAAAACGGCAGGGCAAGACAGCAGCAAAGTACCTGCAGAGGATCCAGCTGGGAACTACAGAAGCAGCAGCTCTCATTCCACCCTTGTCCATGGGCTGTCTGAAGGCTGAGCACAGCCCCAATGCCTCAGAGGCACCCTACTTCTAAACCCAGGTAACTAATGTGGAGCACCCCTGGCTGCATCAGGGTGTCTTCCCAGGGCAAACAGCTCCCCAGAAGTCCTACAGACTGTCAGAGATCACACACACACTTCTGTCCAACTATCAGCAGAGGACAACAATTTCTGCGGTAGCTGACAGAACTGAACCATCTGGCTGCTTTTCCACACTCTCTCCAAGCTTTCCCTGCCCCAGCCACCAGGCAGAATTTCTTTTCAAAGAGATAATCCACGACATTTTACAGAGAGCACAGCCTCTACACAGGAAGCTTCCGTAAGCTACTGGATTCTGTAGGACTCTTCCTACATTTCTAAACCAAGAAGCCAAATCATCACTTACGGTAGTTGGGCCTATTGAGACATCCTTCCCCTCGAGGGCCTGAAGCTGAAGCGACATTGTCAAAACAGCAGCCGTACACAGAACTGCGGCACTCGCCCGAGGGGTACTGCTGGGACAAGGCTTGGCTTGCCTTAGAGACAGGAATGGAAAGCCAAAAGTTATCATGCATACATGAGGACAGCAGCACATGCAAGGCACCATGTCCAAGCTGTCAGCTGCAGAAGGCCAGCTGTTAGAGGAACCACTATTTGTTTGTTTGCCTTCTAGAGGTTTTCATGCTGGCAAGGGGTGGGAAACTTGGCCGCCAACCACGGAGCCAGGGCTGCACTTCTCTGCAAGACAAACCAAACCAGCCCAGCGGCAGGCTGGGTTTTTCAGCTGGCCCCACTGAGCACCCCAAGCTATGAGAGGAATTATCTCTCTGACTATTTTGCCCTCGATTAATTTGCAGAGTTGACAAAAAAGGGCAATTAATAGTGGCCATGTTTTTCCTATTTTTTTCGCCTAGAAATTGGATGGCAAGTCTCTGACCGACAGAAATTTGATTTCTCAGGATTATTCAATCAGTTCTACACAGGATGGTCTTCTACTTCTCTGACGTCTCCCAACCACCCACTCTGTCCCCTGCTTACAGAAGATCAGAGCCAGATGCCCCAGACTGAGCAGGAGCAACATGGGCCAAAGGGCTCCATGCCATGCCTGGAGTATTGGTTCTCCAGCATTACTGGCAGAGATGAAGCACAATAGAAACCCACAATGTGAACCAAAGGGGCCAAATCTGAATCTTCATATCTGATGGACATCTAAAATGCAAAGAGGTTTTGTACTCACTGTTGGAGTGGCCGCAGTGGGCTGATTTCTGCTCACTTGAACGTCACGGTAATATTGTGGGCATCCCATGTTGTTTGGGCCCTGGGCAGCCGATACTCCATCAGGACAGCATCCATACCTACAGGCAGAAGGGCTGGAGAAATACCTGACCTGCCCAGCTCACCAGGCACAGGCTGTAAATTTCTGTAATCCCCCAGGAAAGGCAATGCCTCCCTGGCTCATGTCTACTTCCAGCTACCTGTTTCGGTGGCAGCTGCTGAAGGAGCAACCTCTCCCCAAAGGGCCTGAAGCCGGAGTGTGCCCGTCCGGACAGCAGCCGTGTGGGCTCCGCTGACAGTCCTGAGAGCCGGCCCCTCCAGGGGGGTCCTGAGAGAAGCTGAGCTGATGGGAACCTGATGAGCGTGACTGAGATTCCCAGCGAACAGGCAACAAGTTGATGCCACGGTCCTTGGTGGATGGGATGTAGTGATTCCCAGAGGTACTCTGGATCGTGGAGCTCCCAGAGAGCGTCCTTTCATCACCAGAATCTGGGGAATAGAACTCCTTAAAGCATGCAGGTGAGCATCAAAATCTGGTCAGTCTTCCTCATCTCTGCTGTCTTTTACTTGCCCAAGACTACAGGGCAGGCTTTTCTGCACTGGGGTTTCACATGAGTGTGCGGCTTCTGGCCCACCCTTCTGGATTTGGTTGTTCTTTGCTCACTGTCCTGACCATTCTTTCTGCTGTCTCACGAGAAACCAACCCGCAATACTACTGTGGTCCCTTCACATCATCCTTTTTTCTTCCTATGATCTGCTTTGGGCAGCATATCTCTCAGCCAGCACTTAAGTCATGCTGCCAGAACCTGGAATCTAGATACTGTACAGAGTCTTCTGCATGGACAGGTTCAAATACTGCTCACTCTCAGTGTAAAAGAGCCTACGCTGACTTTGTTCCTGGCTCCATGAACGTCTAGAAGCTCCATTAGTGTCTAGAAGCCCATGAAAAGAATGAGAAATGAAGAAAAGGAGGAACCTTCCCCCTACCACACCCTACTTCAAGTCCATCATCAAAAACACAAACTACTAAAAATCTCACAAACCTGTGGCAGGGCCATTTGGGTTGTAACGTGTCAGCAAGGACTGGCGAGTGACATCATATCCCATAGTGTCCTGCATACTGGGAACCTCTGCAAAGAGAGACATACGCAGAATGAGTATAGATAGTCCAGCTCTATGTTCCAATAATTCCAAATGCATCCAGGAGTCAACAGGAGACTAAAGTTGATGAGCAGGCTTCTCTTCTCCTGGAACAGTTGCTGAGCAGCAGTTGGATTCAACTGGATTGTCAGGAGAGTGACCTGCGATGGGCAGGCAGACACGAGTCAGCACTGCAGCTCTGGCAAGAAGACAAGACACAGACAGCAAGCAAACTCTTCCGAGCAGCTGTGCCTCCTTTATAGCTGGTCCACAGAGGGATGAGGGTTGGCTATAGTTTTTAGCTACTGAGCCTGCTCAGCTTGTCATCCTTCTTGACTGGGAGTCCTGGGGTCAGTCTGCAGCACACATCGGGACAGAGACACCACAGAATACTGAATTCAAAATGGACACACACCAGTGTTTTCCTCAAGACTGTTAAATACATTTTAAACAGCACAGGTACTGGGACTCTGAAGATGCCATGGTTATATGCACAAAACAAACGCACAGGATGGAGACAGGCAGAGCTAGGAATTTCTATTCCTAATAAAAGCATTTTAGGAAAAGGTAGGTGTGCAGCAATACCACTCACGCTGTGGCAGGTAGCAGGGCTGCATGTTGCAGCTACCCAGGGTGGCTGGTTTCTGTGGCTGGATGGCTTTGCATGTCTCGGGACTGTAGAATTTGGAGTCGCCATCAGCGCAGATGACTTGGCGTGTCCGGATGCCTGAACTGCAGCTCTTCGAACACTTGATCACAAAGACAAGGCAAGTGAGCAGGCAGCAGAGGCCAAATGCAGAAACCCCACAGACCAGAAGTGTGGAACAGCTGCATGATTGGCTGCAGGCTGAGCACAGCTTCCTCCACCAAGACAAAGCAAACAATATTTCAGCTGGATTCATCTGAACAATTAGAAAACCATACTTTAAACCATTTTACCAAATGTTGCACCCAGCCCTGAAGCATTAGGCTCTGAGCCAAGCTCAGCCTGTAATATCCAGATGAGCTGCCGTTAGCCACAGCGATGTGGCAGGGAGCTGGACTGAATTGTTTCAGCCTGGCCTGGAGGCATCTCACTACTATGGGGATCCACCAGCTGTGACAGGGTCAGTTTTGAACTATGTGTTCAAGAACAGTTTGCAACAGGAAAGCAAACTGGTGGCTTTTTCGTAAGCATCTGACTGGAGTTCCTCTCACTGGAAGCTGTGGATGAAGAGGCAGCAATGAGCAGCAGCTCAGGGGAGGGGAGCGGAGGAGGTATCTGTGTGTAACCCACCTGCTCGTGACAAGCTCTACAAACACTGGGCAAGTATTTCTCTCTCTTACTCAGATGCAGGTAGGAGCCCTTCTGATATCAGAAAGCCAGGGGCCATGAAAGATCAGACTGAGGTATAAAATTTCCTTAGCTGTTACTAAAACTTGGCCCACATCTCACGAAGAACCAGAGGTAACGTGTTTTAAGTCAGAACAAGCTGGCCTGGCTAGCACAGAAGTGGAAAAGTGTGTTTGGAAGTCACCCGATGCACTGGTTCTACCCCTATCTCCTCTCCCTGGCATTTTTCCCAGGCTGAACACAGTCTGGTTCCCTCCACAAAGACAAGACTAACCCAGCTGGAACACAGTTTATCTGAACAATTACAAAAATGTACTTTTAATCATATCACCAAACACAATGACCAGTCCTGAAGCCTGGAGCTCTAAGCCATACTCGGCCAGAGAACTGTTCTGCTATTCACAGTGAGGGAGTGAAGAACTGGGAATAAGCAGAAAGAGTGGATCGTTTCAGCTTACTGGCTGCATTTTGCCACTGTCACTGAAACTACAATCCCGCCCCTCAGGAGGATTTATTTTTGTAGCAGCTGCATACAAAGCAGGCCGCAGATTAACTGGAGCATTACTAGTGCCAGTTACAACGCAACTGTGAGCCAAGAGACCAGTAATGAAGCAGCACATGCTCCCAGCCTCAGCCAACGTGCAGACTGCACGGATCAAAGCTTGTTTGCGAGGAGCACAGCAATTTAATCAGTTATTTCCGAACCATGAAAGTGCGATGCTCACCAGGCCCCAGTCTCCAACGTGCCAGCCGATTTCCTGGATGCAGTTCTCCTTAAGGCAGGGCTGGGTGGCCGATGGCTTCGGCTCCATTAGGCAAGAGAAGTCCTGAGCCTGAGAGCCCTGCTGCGTTCTGCAGGTCACGGTCCGGGTCTGGACCCCTTCCCCACAGCTGGCTGAGCACTGCAGAGAGGGGCCCAACAATTACAAGGAAGCACCTGGTTTCCACTCGCATTTCCAGGCTGTGCTTCCTAACGTTAGGGCAGAGCACCATTTTGAGATTGCCTGAAACAACCAACCATCATTAAAATCATCTTCTGGGGTGGGAGTTGGAAGAGCCGTTATAAACAATATTGAAAAAGTTACATAAGCATGCTGCAGAAGAGACAATAAGACATGGTGGGTAGGGTCTGGGAGATATGGAGCTCAGTGGATGATTCTGTGCTAGTCATATCATTTCTCTTGATCTCTACCAAAAGAGACCTGGAGAATGACTTTTAAAAATATCCATACTGCAGAATACACTGAGAACAATAAATAGCAGGAAATACCTGGAACCTCATGTTAACTACTCCCGATTAAAATCAGCTCAGGGTAAAGAATTCAAGGGAAGATAAAAAGGTGAGGTTCTTGTATTGCTCATGTCTTCTGCCTGAAGACCTTGTACTCCATTTTTATGCTGTCGATCTGTGACACAACTTCTATACTAGTAACTGGTTCGTGACATTTTCAATGCCCTCTGAAATTCACAATGGCGTTTCCTGGAATCCAGCCTACTTCTCCATGAATCACCAAGTTCTCTTACAGAGACTATTAACTTTGGGACAGCCTGAATTACTCAGCTTCCCATCTAAGTTTCAGCCACTCATTTACTGGAGTGACCTTTTAACTCTGAGAGTACATGAGACACAGTCGCTTTTGAGAACCCCGGAATGAATCGTGTAGGAATCAGTTTGTAAGAATACGACACTTGGTGCCTTCCTTAAACAGAGCTCTTACTCTGCAACCCTTAAGTCATCTCAGTATTCACACTCACAAGAGGAGGAAAAAAACCTGACTCTACAACATAGGTTATCATGACTCAAAGTTACATTTTACACTGCTGTACCACTCTAGACTAAGTACCACCACAAGATCATAAGCCAAATGTTGCAAGCATGCACGTACTTCTTTTAAAAGAGGAAAACTCAATCATGCTTTATGGACTGAGTAGCCACTACCTTTACTTTCTAAGCCCTTGGAACGTAAGATGCCCGCTAAATGCCTGGCTGGCAGCATTGAGCTCGTGCAGTTTGAAGGGTTTCCTCTCCTGGAGATATAAATGCACACAGGCAGCAAAAATGCACCACGCGGCTGCGTTCAGAGGAGCCCTGCACTGACACACAGCAAACAGCAGGTCACCAGTGTTTCAAAGAGTGTGTGTCTTGCTTACCCACCGCTGTGATCATAGTACTGCTGCCCCTGGCTAGCAGCTCCGAGGCAGTGATATGCACGGGAGCAAGCAGCAGAGGCGGGAGCCATGAGCTCCTGTTTTACAGAGGAGGGAGCACTGCTGCACACCATCAGCCGATGGACAGCGGCTCTCATGCCCGCCCTCCGCCTTCACCAGGCCAGACTCAGAAACTCAGCTAATGCCAGGTCTGCTGGATCTGATGAAAATACAGGAGTGGGGAAAGGACAGGCAGACCAGAGAAGAGAGAACATGCAATGAGAGGAGCAGAGGTGGAGGGGCACGCACAGTTCTGAGAAACAGGGATGTGTTTATAGGAGGGCACAGCTGCTAGCTAGCTGGAGAACTTGTTTGGAGGACGGCAGCTATGAGTCTTACACCTCTGCACAACACCTATCCAGGGACACACGCCTTTTACAGCCCCACAAAAGGAGCCTGGCTCTTTATCCCCAAGCTTTGGCAGATCCTCCTTCGTAGGTGCCCAGAGGAAGTGACCTCCCACGCACAAACTCACCTCAGACCAGGGCCCCGTGCTCCAGGTCGCACACTGTCTCACGTTGCAGGGCTGACTGCTGCGCGGCTGCTGCGCGAAGGCCATGCACTCAGCGTTATCCACCACCCCTTGGGAGCTCTGACCATCAAATGCCACACAGTAAACGGAGCGGGTCTGGGTGCCCCCACCACAGGTAGCTGAGCAGGATCCCCACTCCCCTGTTTTCCACCTGCAGGTCACAGAATCGAGCAAACAAACAGAAGCCCAGCTAAACCACCCAGAGGCACAGGGGAGGTTCAGACAGGGAAAATATCCCTTTGCAGAACAGAGTCAGAGACAAGTTCCCATTTGACCAAGCGCTGCCCAGCTTAATTGGCAATACAGAGCAGGAGTCCCATTCCAGAGACAAATCCCCAACTACAAAACACTTGTTTCTCTGGAATTGCAGAGCTCTCCCAGACGGGGAAGATTTCTCTCTATGATTTTTTGTCTCCTGATGTCTGCAAAAATTTCATGCCTGGAATGGAACATCAAAGTAAAAGAAAGAAAAAAAACAAAGAAAACAATCCAGATCAGATAAAAGGAAAGCAACCCACACCAGCCTAACCACCCATTACACTCCAAACATTATCAGGTACGGTAAAACCAGGCTAAGACCTCATTCTGCCTGCGAACCCTGCCAGACACTCTCAGAAGTGCTTGTGAACTTTTTGCTGGCAGCCAGCAGAAAGCTGGTTTATTCCTCCCATTGGCCAAATTCTCTAACAGCAGCACACACAAAAAAGCCCCCAAAACTGTAAATAGATTTTGACCTGTGTTTGGTTGCTGAAGCTGTTGCAGAAATGATACACTCTTGCTAACTGAAGGGGGAATGCCCACAAAACAATCTGACTGTTGGGATGCTAGAATCTCAGCACTTGTCCACCCTTGTGTCTCAGAGCTGCCCAGGTAGCTGGCAGCACAGCTTACACAGCCTGGCTTCAGGGACATGATGTTTCATTCCCAAATCCAGCATGCTGTGCAGTCAAAAGGCACTGGTGATGGAGGGGCAGCACCACAGTGATCTGTTTGTCAGCTGCTGCCTCCCCTGGCAGCCAGGTAAGCTCCAGCCAGGGAGTGAAGGCAGTTCATGATTTCTCCCCTAGCCTTCCAGATGCTTCCCCTGGTCTGCCCTCACCACCCCTAAACTGAGTTTCAGCCAGCCAGTTCACATTCACGCCCTACCAGACTCAGCCATGTTCATCTCCTTAAGATACCCTTCTTTATTGCCAAAGATGCAAATACCAGTCCAAAACTGAATGGCCTTTTCTATATAATAAGATGCTCCCTTTGGAAAGGGAAATAGAAGACACTTAGAGTGGTGCGGTTGTAGGGCTCAAAATAAATTCATTGATCAAGATTCTTCAGAAGCTCCAGTGAGGATAGCCCTCCCCCAAACAGCATTCTGCCTCCTGTAAAACAAAGGTACGGTTTTAGAAGGGCTGTATCAATTAGATGGGCTCATCTACAGCTTCCTTCAATTGTGAGTCAAGACATCTTCTCTGACACTTGTTTCATTTCCTTTGTAAGACGAGATCAACCATAAGGCTGGGACCTTCATCAGAGGGCAAAGAAATGCAAGTCCTAAACTATTAGCAGCTTACTGGGAGACAGCTGTTTTGCTTTTAATCTTTTTTACTTCTCATAACCTCAGTGTCCATTATAAGTACTGTATGTGTCACATCCTTGTACTCATCAGTTTCTAGACACTTTTCTGCCTGCTGTAAGGCCTATGCCAAAGAAAGAGGAGTGTTTAAGAAACAGGCATTTGCTGTGACATGCTGGCATCCTGGCCAATGTTTCAATCGCCCAATCCATCACGTTCTCTTTTCCTTCCTGTTCTTCTATTTATCTTGATAAATCAAACAAAAATCTTCCAGAACATCCCTTTATTTCTTTACCCTGATTCCAGAGAAATAACAACAGTTATCAAGATAAACAGCCAAAAGCTATGAGGAAACTGTCCCCTTCTCAGTCCCATAAGAATGAAGTTACCAGGGCACGCAGAACCACCTAAGCAAAGCTGCCAGCCAGCGCCCTCCACCATCATTTTCACTGGCAAGAATCAAAAGCAAAGCACCACCCACTGCTACCACCAGCGCCAAAGAGCAAAGCCCCCACAGACTTCAGAGGGCAACTAGGTGGGGAACAGAAGAGAGCAGCTGCCTTCCTGTGCTTTCTGTAACCTCCTTCTCCTTGTTACCTCTTCATCTGAGAGCTCCGTGCTCCACTGTGACTCCAGGCTTGCGGCAGATAGATGTAGGAAGTCCTTTATACACAGAACAAAGGATTTAAGGAACTTAAAACAAGTAGCTACAGGCTATCACATATTCGGAAATGCTCCCAGGTTTCCAGTGCCCTCTGACCCCCAGCAGCACCCTCACAGGCCTCTACTGCACCTACCAGATACACCGTGAAACACACAGTTAAGACTCTGGTTACAGCTCTGGGTGCCCACGTAATAGCCCAGTGAAGCCAACTGCAAGCCTATGCCAGCAAGGGACAAGGTGGAAATGGCTGGGTAAAGGGGTTTGAAAATGCTGGAGAACTAAAAGATTCCAGGATCCATCCCTTTCTAAGAGTAAGGACACTGGGAATGCAGAAATGACATAAAATGACACCAGCTCTGACCTCCTATGTTGTTTTTGCTGGCTCCAGTTGAAGAGAACAAAACCCAGAGAATCTGTTTCCTATCTCCTCTACCTGGGCTAGAAAACTCTCTTCCACAATCATACTCTGGAAAGCAAATTTAATTGGTCCATAAAATGAACATAGGATGTATTAAGCCCTTTCCCTGTGCACACAGAAATGCTCATCACAGTGTTATCATCACCATCCTCTGTCTTGGGCTTTCTCTCAGAAGTGAAATACTTCTCTGGAGAGAACCGTGCTGGAAGGCAGGAGAAGCGAGAGGGTCATTCTTTTTCTTGGTTCCAAAAGCACCTCAGGAAGAAATCAGAGTCCAGAAGAAGAAAGGAAATCTTACCGTTTTGTCTGGGGACAAGTTTGATGGCCACATGTCCGATTATTGTCTGGTTGTGGTTTATTCCTGCACATATAGTCCGGATAAATTTCATTGTCTATGGTACAAAACACCAAACGGGATTGGAAACCTAAAGGAGAAGCAAGAGAGTATCCTGATCAACACAAGCCACCCAGGACTAGGTGCAGTGTGCTGGTGGTGGCAAGACAAGTTTCTAAGCTAGTGCAGAATCCACACTCGTCCCAGTCAATCTGGAAAAGTCAAGTGCAGTTCCTGGTCACTATACGAAGGATGCCTCCCCAAAGCAGAAGAGTCCACTGAAGAGTAAGAGAGACAGAATAGTTCTGTGTAGTTGAAGGGCATTTTCCTGTCATTTTATGGATTGAAACTCACAAGAGAAGCACCATATCTATATACCGTTCATCAAGGAACGCTGCATGATGTGTGCAGCATATAGCAGCAGAGCTGGGGGCCTCCTGTTAGACTCAGAAGGTCAGTCTTGTGAAGACTGGATACGGGAGAAAAACTTGCAACTCTTCATGCTTCCTACAGAGTAAGATCCCCCAGGCAAAGACAATATCAGTACCTACAATCACAATGCGTCAAAAGCTATTGAAATGGCCATCAGCACAGACCACCAGAAGAGGCTGATAGGAACTCTATATAGCAGTCAGCTGGAGAGGGGTTTTTTTGATGAAGGTTTTTTTGGTTTGCTTTGTTTTGGGGTGTTTTTTTTTGTTTTTTTTTTTGGGGGGGGGGGTTGTTTGTTTGTTTGGTTTTTTTGTTTTTTTCGTTTTTTTTTCAAGCTTAAAATCCATAACTTTGCTCATGGAAGAAACTGTAAACTGAACATGACATGACAACCCCTGGAGATCTCACAGTCCCCTTGGAGAGAGGGAATCTTCCAGCCTATGGTAGAGGGGAGTGATGTGATTCAGTTAGGTGGGCCATGTCAGTATGGAGAGGACCTCTCAAGCCATTGAAAAGGCCTGAAAAGGACATAAAGAAGTGAAGCAAAACAAAACAAAGGCTATCTATGAAGATTCTTAACAGATCCTAGTAACAAGTCTGAGGACTAGGGCATGGAAAGTAAGACAGAACAAGGCATGGGGCACAGTCCTGTTGTGACTCCATGTGTGACCCTCCCTTGAGAAAACTTTAGCTGCCCCCTGCAGACACCTGTGCTGCCTTCCAGCCGAAGACTGCTGGGAAGCAGCTGCAGAGGGCAGCACACAGTCATACTGCCTTCAGGGTGTGGAGATAAACCCCACAGCAGCGGCCAGAGACCAGGTTCTGTCCCCTTACCTCCTCCACATTCGGAGCTGCACTCACTCCAGGAACCATAGCTCCAGCTGTAGCCCGAGGCCTGTCCTTGCACAGGGAGGTAGTATTCATACTGTACCCCTGGGTTTGGCTCCTGGCTGATGAGCTGTGAAAGCATGGGAGAAAGTCAGGGAAATAACAGCAGCAGCACTTTTCCCCTTCACAGCATTTCCCCACCACATCTGAGGGTTTGAGCTGACCTGTGCCTTTCCTGCTCAAGGAGCACTTATTTGATAAGCTGTATTTTCTCCTCGCCTTCTACAATACTCTAGAGAACACTGTTTTTCAGAGAAGGGTGCATTCATCCTCCTCAACATCAGCAGATCCAGCTGCTCTTGTAAGAGTGCGTACCCTTTCCTGGCCTACAGCACACTGTAACAGGCAGTGCCCTAGAGCCCACCCCTGCCCCAACACCATCTGGTGCTGACTCTCCCCTCCATTAAAGTCAGAAACCAAGGGAATAGGCAGGAAGCCAACACTGAGCTTTGCTCTGCTCCTCTCCAGGCAACAGAACCAAAGCAGAAAATAGTGCTATTCCTGCACAAAGATCACCTTGGTCTGGCTCGGGGGCCTACAGCTTTATAAGATTCCTGGGAGCCCCATCACTTCTCCAGTTTTTCCCACGTGGTTCTCACCAACACACTCCCACTGCACAAAGCGAGGGCTGCTGTGCAAAGCAAGGGAGCAGGGGTATCGGGGGGCAGGTGCAGCTGCTTACCTCAATGACGAGGGGTTCTGTGGTGGGACCCTGGGCATGGAGGAGCTCTGGGGCCAGATCACCCTCCGAGCCACGGTCATAGTGCATAATCGTGCTAGCTACCTTCAGCGCTCGGCTGAAGTCGATTGTCCAATGCCCGTTCAGGTAATACTCCCCTCGCACATTCTTGATAGCTGGACAAACCCAGATGCCAGAGAAGAAAAGGCAGTACATTAATATACCTACAACTTGACACTTGGCTCCAGATACCACAAGACAGCCTGCTCTAGAGTTTCAGGGTATTGGCAATCTGCAGAACTCTCAGCTCTGCCATTTGAATCCCAGCTCCTTTACAACAATACCACAACCCTTTAAGTGTAGCAGCATCTACTAATACAGCAAAAATTCATACATCAAAAGAGGACTGTAAGAACTCCACAGCAATGCTTCTGTTTCCACTCCAAGATGTTGCAGATGTGGCAAATAAAGGTGACCATCATGCTCCAATAGTGCTGTCCCCCTGTAAGGCCTCTTGCCAGAAGCTGCTCCACATTCAGACAGTGGTTCTTGCTGGCTTTGCTGCAGACCAAGCATTTTTTGGCTGCACACCCAAATGCCTCCAGCATATTCAAGCCCTGTCCCTGCATTCCCCACCATTAGCCACTGAGGCACAGCCTATGTCAGCCTTTGTCCTGCTTGCAGTTAAGATGTGGGATTCACACCCCACTGCCTCCACACCACTGTCCTGTTCATCAGACACTCTACTTGGAAAACAAAGACTTTGGTGCTGCATCCAGCTTTCTACAAAGGAGAACATCACCAGACTGATTTGTTCGAAGCATTGGGTGATGGAAGAGTCAGAAAGCAGAAGAATATTTGCTTTCTCCACTGTAATTTCCTCAACCCTGCACAGAAAGCTAGGTGAGGACATTTCTCCCTCCTTTTCAACCTACGCATCATGACCAGAGTTTGAGGTTGTACAGAGAAATACCCAGAAGATATCTCTGGGGAAAAGAAGCCCATCCCAAACTTTTGGATGGCAGTAGTTAGAGTTTACGTTCACCGAGCAAACAGCAGAATTCAGTCAAATTTTGCTCTATCAACCAGAGTCCTTGCAAGTTCCAAGCAGGAAGTCTGAATGTAGTTTGGGTATGCTCCTCCAAGAGCAAGGTCACCACAAGAGAGAAAATGAGATAAACCTGAAGCCCAGAGTTGAGCATCACTAACACTGCAAGGATACTCAGCATTCAGATAATGATTTTCAGAGATTTTTTTCCCTCTGCCATATCAAGCCCTCAAGATAAACATCACAAAGCCCAGTATACCTGAAAACCAAATTTTAATGCAAGGGTTGGAATCCAAATGGACTGAAACACAGGTTCTGACATCAATCTTACCCAGGAAGTTCCTGCTGGGCATAACCTCCTTAATTTGGATGCTTGTGGCTCCCACAGGAATGATGAAGATTTGATTGTAACCTTAAATAAAAAAAAAAAAAAAAAAGGATTATTCAGGATGTGTCCGTGGATGCCACACAGTCAGTCTTCTGTGCCAAAGATGCTCATGGTGTAATTGGTGCCTGAACAACTGGATAAGTTTATGATGGTGGCTGGAAGCATTTCAGCTGTCACTTTATCTGCATTTTGAATAGCTTCACCCTACGCTATCTGCAGGTCAGTCCATGTGTAAAAAGTTTCAATTACACCTCAGAAAAGTAACCACAGGGGACAGTGAAAGGTCCATTTTTTAGATTTAAAAATCTTTGGAATGTCAGCAAGCATCATATCGGAACTCAACACAGAAATCTGACCACAAGTGTAGGAGTTATCTTGAAATTTTTCAAAATTGGCCAAATGCAGAAGATGCAGTCCCATTTTTAGCCTTGCACTAATCCTGGTGGGGCTGTTAGGGCACTGGACAGGGGCACAGTCTTATGAAGGAGGCATATAGCTATGTTCATATAGTACATTTATAGCACCAGTTGGAGACTGAGCATGGCAAGTACTTCAGACTGTACAGAGACCAAGGAAGAGATTCCCAGCATAAGGCCATCGATACATTTTCTGATGATAAAGCAGCTGAAGAGCCACACGCCACACAGACATTTCAAGTGAACATCCAAGCCTGCCTACAACCATCATGTGAGCAGGTGCCCCCACCAGCCTTTGCAGCAGCTTGACTTTAGGTTTAAGTCTCTCCCCCTCACCTGCCCAAACTACCTAGATCATCTGTACCTTTGGGGAGGCTGGGCACATCAAAAGTGCCCTTCACACCATAGCAGGTGCTGCCATCTCCTCCACACTGCAGGCACTTGTCCTCCTTCTTGGCAGATTCCAGCATGTTATCACAGCCAACAGCCTGTCAGAGCACAGGAGCGTTGATATGAATAAACCATAATGACAAGAGGAAAGAAAGAAAAAATGGCCAAGTGCTGGACTGATCTAATGAGAAATCCTGAATCTAGGAGTCTGGGAAGTCAGGGTAGAGCAAAGGAGCTGTCAAAGGACAGAGTTGGCATCTTCTATTTCACAGAGATAGATAGATAGATAGATTAGATAGATACATAAATTCTGTCCACATGCTCCTCAGCACCTTGAAAACGGAATGATTCTCTTTTTCTGATGCTATTATGAAAGGCCAAGCAGAACAAAAGGACACAACAGAAAGACTGACAGACTCAATGGTAAAAAAAGGAAACAACAAAATGACTAACCTGACAAACTCCCTCTACACAGATGTCCCGCTTGCCAGGTTCACAGGTAGTCCCATCTACCACTGCTTCCTTGTGCCTGTAGTAGAAGTTTTCTCCCTTGGGAATACAGTTCAACTCACACTTATTAGGCGCTGGTAGGAGAGAAAAAACAGACATCATGTAATATGGCTAATAGTTTAATGATGCATCAGGAACCTGGTTTTAGATCACAGGAGCAGAAACAGAGGGGTGGACTGATATTGAGTGGCAGATATTGAACAAATTTCTGGGTCACAATCTGTTTGGGGGGCTGGAAAAATACCCTGGTAGAGCCTTACTGTATGCAAACACTTCCTCAGGCACCTTGTGTGGCCAGTGGTGAAGGGGGGGATGTCAGGCCAGGGGAAGCACTCAATTATATGCATTTGATTCTCCTGTGCCCTGCTAATATTCTTTTGCCAATATTGAAAAACACACCAGAGCTTCTGTTTCTTTAATACTTTAGGATGTATCTGCAAGCAGTTACATCTTCCTCAAGCAATGTTTCTGAAAGAACGGCTGACAGAAGAGACAACTACATATTGCTGCAATGGGAGCTGTCTCTTGGCCCATGCATCCAGTGTCTTCACAAGAGCAATGCTTTTGTTGCTGGCAAAAACATTTTTTCCATGCCACCTCCTGCCCCAAGACTCCAACTATGGGAGTACCCTAATAGGATACTACAGTGAAAAACATTACAGTCACTTCAGAACATACTGTTGATAGTTAGGGATGAAGTGCAATCCTACAAGTTTATCATTACCTCCATAATATGGAAGCCACTTATATTTCTTTCCTTGGAATTCTGTCCCATCGAACTCTGCACACTGCTCTGCCCGGAAATCCTGGGAGCCTTCTGGGCAGCTCTGTTTGGAGGAGAAAATGTTTGTATTGAGCTATTATATAAAAGAGAAAAATTAAGTGTACAACAAAAAATCATTTTTTATTTGTTATTGCTCCCATATAAAACCAGGAGCATAAATTTAATATGCTTTTGAAGGGGTATTGTTGATGAAATGCATTCACCAGTGATGCCAGATAAAGATAAACTGATAATGACATATTTTTTTCTGAACAAGAGTGATGTTTGTCTGAGGAAAGGGAGCAACAGGCAAGCAAAAACCAAGAACAGAGCACTGTACCTGAATGTTGCATGACCGATAGCTTCGAGTTGGTCCAACACAACTGGAAGCACCTTCTGTCCTGAAAAACAAACAAAAAAAATCTGAAACAAACAAACGAAAGCTCTATGAAGAATACACATGCAAAAAGTCACCTCGTGGCAGACATTACAAATCACCTTCACATCGAGCATGTCACCCTCACACAGTTTCCTGAAAAATAACTAAAATGAACTTTTCCACTAAAGCAAGCTGACATCTTCTAGTGCCATTTTCTGCTATGGTTTGCATTCTGGCACAGATGAGACACACCCCATGAACAATTGCAGTACAGCTCTTCAGCGCCACGTTGTAACTAAATAATGGAAGCAGAGATTTTAGTCCTTTGTCCACCAGTAAACAGGCAAGGTGTCCATACGAGAACCAGAAACATGCTATGAGCAGAAGGGCAGTGGCCAATTTAGAACAGGTACACACATCAACTATCATGCTGTTTACGTGCACACTGAACCCATTAGTAGGTAGACATAAACATGCATATGGAAAGTGTGCAAGACCCTCATTCCAGCCAAATGGCTCCAGCTGAGAATTACTGAGAGTAACAGTTATGGAAGAAATCGATCTGAAAAGCCAACCAATGTCTAATATCTCAGCATTCCTAAAATGGGGAAACAGGCCTCCAGGGATTCTGGAAGATGTATACCATGATGGGCAGCCTTCAAAAGAGACATGCCTTTATTCTGGGTGGGAAGAAGCAGTGCTCTGTAACTCTGGATTCTTCTATTAAAAAATCCCCTTTAATTTCTCTAAACATAAGGAGACTGGATTTCTTCAGGACATTCTTGAGAGTCTGGCTTTTTTCCCCTTTTCTTTGTTATTGCCCACAATAGGATCTTTAAGGTCCATCATCCCCAAGCGGTGCAGTCCCAGTCATCATCCTCACTGCATCTAATCCAGCTGCAAACGAGATGGCACAGCATTAATGCTGCTTGAGTCATCCCCACTCTTCCATTTCTTCTGGGGCAATTTACCTTCCTGGGAATCATAAGCCTGAGAAAATCTTGGCACAGTCACCAGCTCTCAGGAGAGAAACCTACTGCCCTGGACGGTTCTCCCTCTCCCCCAGGCTTGACCCAATTGAACAACTGCTGCCATACCAATCACCTGATAGCACAGCCTCAGATCTCACAGAGAAACCACTGTGCTCTAGCGAAGGAGCCAAAGCAAGGATGTGTTGAAGACAGCACTATTCAAAGCATCAGTGACGAGACAAGATGAGGATCATCTCAAAGCAGACTCAAGTGACTTGTTCCCCTGGAATCAAATACTGGCATTTTTGTTCTGGATGTATATTGGAACACAAGGGCAGGAGATCAGTAACAGAAAAACACATTTAAAGAAAGAAAAAGGAGGTTAGCCTTCACCTTTGGGAATAGCAGCGCCGTTGCCGAAAGCTGACTCCACCGCCACAGCTCCGACTGCACTTGCCCCATTCACCCCAGCTCCCCCAGACATCAAGCTGCCGTTTCATCCGGTGGCCCTGTAAATAAAAAACCCCACAGACATATCAAACAGACATGGCCACACAGGAAAAAAACAATGAAAATGAAGCAGAGCTCCTATGTGTTCTCTTACAAAAGAGGCTGCCTTGTTGGGCTGTATTCCTAGTGTAAAAAGTGGCAGAGAATAATATATCAGAAATGTCAAGTGTATAATATCTTGGGATTATTAGCTTCCGGAAGCCATGTAGCACATCCAGCTTTATAATGTCCCTTAAACTGTTACTGTTTGTCTATTCATAGCATCTCAGCACTTTTGAATAACCATGTGAAAGAGGATAACATCTCTCAGCAAGGCAGCAAAAGCAAATAATTACTTCGGGGACTACGAGCACTGTCAGTCCACACCAGATCAATAGAGCCACTTAATCCCGAATCCTTGTCCTCAAGCCAGACACTTAAGAGAAATAAAGAAAGCAGTAAGGAAACCCCCGGAACACACTTTTTACTGCAACAAAATTACATGCATAGACCACCTTCTGTCTCTCTCCCCAACTGTGTCCAATGACAAGATCAAAGTCTGGGCCATCATTAGCTACAGCCTTGATTTTGCGTTTAGAAAGTCTGAATGGATACTGACATTAAGAGAAATAAGCATAATAATATAAACCAGAAGTTACAAGTGCAATGGAACCAATCAAAAAATATTCTATTAGAAGTACATGAAATATCACATTTTCAGGAAAAAAGGGCCTACTGCAGCTGATGGGATCTACACGCAGCAGAACATGGGGGTTCAGTGGAAAGTATAGCAATATCCTGAGAAAAAAAGAATAACTGCAAGATGTAGCAGCATTAATTCGACTTGGGAAAACGAGGTAAATGCAGGGATACACAGGGAGTGATGCTGTAAAAACTGGGTTTGCTGTGCAGCTGCACCTGTAGGGCAGTTTCTATATCTAGTGTATAACTGAGAACGTAATGCATACCATTTGGGTACGTAGACATTTGGGGTAGTGAAGAGTGGACAGACAGAGAAACAAAAGGTAAAAAATGATTGGGATGTAGTCCAATTCTCTTTCACACAGACAGTATCCCACCAATTCTACATAACCCCTGGGTCTGGGTCCCAGTCCATCCTCTAGTTTCACACAGCCCCTTTTGACTTGGACACAGCACCCCACATTCCCATCCTCTACATTTCCCTGCTCGTGCTCTGTTTCCAGTTCTTCCTGTTGTCCCTCCTGAATCCTCATGTAAACTAATCCTTGATGATCACCCAGCTAGTAAGTGCCAGTGAAAAGGTTTTCTCCTAGAGTGGAAGAATATCTTAGAAATGAAGAATTTCACCATAGCAAGGATATTAATCCTACTTAGCAAGCACTTTCCACCCACTCAGGTCACTTTGAGGCCTACAGAGAAGGCACGAGCTCCATTGCTTTAAGAACATAATTTTCACTTCAGTTAACTGATGATAACTGCTTTTTATGTAAGATATCCATCCAGGTCTCTGCTAGAAATAGGAGTTAGCCTAATAAAACACCCAGTGAATCCAACTCAGGCAAGATGCATGGGTTAAACCTCCCTTCTCATTTAACCAGTTTTTGTAATTTTCTACACATAATCCGTGCCTGACCGTATGTCCCTGAGTTAGTCATGTTTCTCTCTTTCACCTTCTTTTAAGGAATATTTCCCTGCTGCTGGTAAAGCAACAGAAATATTAACCGATCATATTTATGCACTTACTACCCATATTACCCAGTTACCCATAACTACCTAGCTGCAGAGTGATCCCGAATTTTTCCTGCCTGTTACTCATATTGCTCTAACATGAAACACTTTCTTCCTAGCCCACGCTATTTGATTTCCTCACACAAGTTTTGTGCAATTCTTGCTAACACCTCTGCAAGCAAAATCCTTCAGGACAAGTTTCCTGGTTCAGACTAACTCTGCCTTCACCCTACTCGCCCAATGGCACTGCCCAGGTTACAGCCACTTCTACATACCTTCTCTCTGCCAAGTCAACATCTCCCTTCCCTTGCCAAACCCTTTCTTCCATTCCAGATACTGAGCTCAGTGTTTGCCTTCTGCATTCTCATTTGCCTTTCTGGGAGTAATCCCATCAACAGCGTTTTAGCTTTCAGCAAGGCATCTTATTTTCCCAAGTTTTTCTTTCAGATACCCAATTCCTCCCCCTGTAATCCCTCATGCCTTATTCTCAGAAGAATGAAACATGCTACCAGCTCTGTTTCCCTGCAGTTTTACTCCTCTATATCAACTGACTGATTTAGGAGCAGTATTAGCTCACCCTGGAAACAAGGGACCTTTCAGTCAGCATAAGGGAGAAGAAAACATGTAGATAAAAATCCAAAGGAAGAGCATTTGAAAGTCAGATTAGTGGAAGGCAATTAGGATAGAAAGGCCTTCCCTGACACACACACACCAACCTGATAAATATTCCAATATCCCTCCTACAGAAGTAGCATTCTTTATTCCTTCTATATAGAGTAAAATCTGCAGGGACTCTCTGTTGTAAGGCTTATGCATCCACAGAGTGCAGGAACAAGAATTTTCTCAGTATCTCTCCATTTATGTACACCCCAAAAGGAGCATCAGCCAGAGGAATCCTCCCAAAGATGTATCGTGTTAGAGAAACATCTTAATAGGGGCCCATCTCTCACATTCAGAAATCTGTGCACAGTCCTCATTACTTCAGTAACTGCACATACATGTATACAAGCAAATATAAATCTGCATATTTCTAATAAATAATAAATCTATTATTACATAATCTGAAAACAACATGTCTTTTGATGCTGTCAACTAATTTCTGTTCCAAAAGACTCTTTCTGTTCTCTTCAGATTCTGGAATGCTTTTACCTGTTGTCAGCCAGGACAACTAAAACCCAGTGCCTTCTGGACCCCAGAACTGAAAATCTACAAACTTCATCACTGCTACAAATTCATTTGGTTCCATTCCTCTTTTGCTTCAGCCTAACGTGCACACAAGAACACAGTTCCTTTATCTGCATTAAGTATGTATTTTAGTGTTTCAGGAAAAGTGAGATAAAGCATACAATCATCCTACTTGACTTCAAAAAATTCCAGAAAGGACAGTCAGTTAATGCCTAACTGCTCTGTCTAGTTTTATTGCCTGTTAAGACAACAGAAATGCATACCTTCCCGGGACACATGACCCTGGCACCACATACTCTTAGTGCTCACTGGTAAATAGGCTGCTGTGGTATATAAGTTTAGAAGGCCAGTGTTTTCATTTTTATGAACACTGCATTGCTTTCATCAGTTCCTGGACAGATGCATTGCTGATGTAGTTGCAGCATCTGCTGTTATCAGGACAACTATATCTGATATAACCAGCAAGTAAAAAAGCTACGCCTCCAAGTCTAGACTTTGAGCACTACAGCTCTAGAGTTCATCTTTAAAGACAATTCCAGTGTGTATCAGACACAAACAAAAGAATTCTGGAGAAGGGTCCTAGCTAAATATCGCACGGTATATATTATATATACATGAAACATGCACTGGAAGGGGAGTTATGAATGGGACTTGACTCTAAGACAAAAAATGCTGGCAGTATGTAGGAACACTTTTAAAAGGCCTCTTGAAAGACCTCTCAGTCAGTCTGATGAGATGGATAGGAAACCGTGCATGGGAGGAGGACTGTGCTTCCCAGACGGATGCACTGCAGTTATGCAGTGATACACAAAGTTCATATAACCAAACGTGGACTAGTGATTTAGCATGAATAGTTTCCTAGTGCATCGTTGCAACTCAAATACTAGCAAGCTATCACAGTAAACATCAATTTAACTCCAGAGTCCAAAGTGAGCAGTGAAGGTGTGCTGTCACAGGTCCAAACAACCTAAAACTCAGCCAAGTTCCTACCCCTCATGTTTCCCTTACTCTTTGGGCACCTTCGAGGGCCTAGTGATAGTCAACCTGAATTATTCTGGGATTCTCTGTGCTGCCTTTCCAGACTGACAAGCAGCAACAAAGCATGTTACACCATTCCAACAGTCCCTGCTTAAAGCACATGGTTACTGATACCCACGCTATACCTGAGAGGTATCAGACAAGGCTAGTGCTTGCTTCTAAGCCCATCAGGTCCCATAGCTTTGGTCCATTGAGCTGCAACTGAAGCATCTTTTTGGACACTGAAAAACTGTTGCTGCAACTTCTTGAGCTGCATCACAGTTACTAGACTCCATTCAGATCTGATACAAATCTCAGTGCCAACACTGAGAATATGGTGGGAATTTCTTGACATTGGAAGTTGACTACAAGGTCCTATACAATTGTTACCCACTGAAAACCAGATATTGCTGTCAACGATAAAATGAGTAATGTGGTGTTACTGTTATTTTATGCAGTGTTTCTGTGCCTTGAAACTACAGTCAAAATCAGATTCTCTCTCTTTAACCTCTCTTAGTATTTCTGAAATAACAATACTTCCTTTTATTTGATAAGTATCTACTTTCTGGGGTTTATGGTTTCTGAAATAAGGTTAATGTTTATTTAGACACACCCCTGAACTGTAGCCCCATTGATGAGACATGTATGAAAGAAAGGTGAAAACCAAACGCTTTACAGAAGAAAGTTATCACCACAGTCATTTATTCCATAATGGTTTCATTGCCAAAGTCTTGGCAAGTAAGAAGTCTCCAGCGAAAAATTCAGCTTTGCTACATTTGAATAATAATTGATTAGAGAAAAGTTAACTTCTTAGAGAAAAGTTAATAAGGGAAGAGGAGGAAAAAAAAAAAAAAAAGAGAACTGTCAAGGTGCCTTAAAGGCTGGGGGCTTCCCCAGGGTGGCAGGGCAAGCCAGGGTATGGTCCCAGCCCTGGGAACTGTGCAGCTCCAGCCAAAGCCAGGCTGGGACATGGGACTGCAGGAGCGGACAGCCTTGGGGCTGCAATGGGGTCCTGGGCTGTGGATAGGGTGGGGGGAGCCCAGCAAGGGCCAGTAAAGCCTAGCAGTGCCCTCAGGGTGCTGACAAAAACAACCTACTCAGAGTGTAT